GCAATTTATTTTCTAAACTACCGTTTAAAGCACGGCCAACATTATTACCGTCAAGGATTTAATTATTATGAATGATATGTTATATGGACTATAAAATGTAATTTGATACGAAATGAGCCGTACGGTGTGCTATGAGGGGAATTTAGCCCGGACAGCGGCACTACGGCCTACTCTTATAACGAATTCCAACTGTCAAGAGATCTTTAACGTGCACGCCAATGTGTAAACGGGACCTCGTTTTTCTGTCCAATCCAAACGACTAGACAGCTGTCCTTGTCAGGCCCTACGTCCTGCATCACTGACAACTTTCTCGGCCAATGCAGGGATCGAACACATGATCTCCAGGCTAACGAGCCAGCGTTTTACCCACCGTGACACCTCGTTCAAACATATAAGTTTTCAGCAAGTCCCCCTATAAAATGTAATTTGATATAAAATACGTTCGGCGTAGATATTTTAGGATAGAATGCTGATAGACAATCTAGACCCTATATTTGGGGCACAAATGCACGACAACCATCGATTTCAAATCGTGCGGACTCTTTTGAAAATACAACAATATTACTTGTTTGGTCGTCCGTAACTACACCGGAACAAAATTGTCAAATTATTTCAGTATTTCATAAATTTTTGACCTAACTGCATTGGGGCTTCGTCTCAACGACACCAGTATTTGCCTGCATAGAGAATATTTAGTGCTCGCTTTTTAACGATTAAATTGGGCATGTTGTTTGGGTGGTAATTTATCTTGCTTGTTCAGTGTTGGCTTTCTATAAAATGATAATAATAATTCAAAATAAATAGTGGACGATAACACCAACGTTGTCTCTCTCTCTCTCTCTCTCTCTTCCTCTTCTCTCGTCTTCATTGGCCCAGTTCGGATCAAAACAGTAGGACGTTAAACCCCATTTCATTTCATTTCTCCCTCTTCTAATCAGGTATATTGCCCTGTATATCATTAATTTGATTCTAAACGGATTCAAATTCCATACAGTCATTTAGAGCCACGGGCAGTCGTGAGCGCTATTTACACCTACACGATTCTAAATAACATTTATTAGCTTCTCAATTTCCATGAGGATATACATAGTGCGAAACAATACCTTCTCAAGGGTTTTAAAAAGATATGGAAATAGACCTCGATAAGATTCTGACTCAAGAGGTATAAACTTTTACGCCTGAAAGCGATAATTCCATAATCTATACAATTTATTTCATTTGAAGGAGACAAACAAATCATTATTATGTAGAGTTAATGTAATTGTACCACTTGATGAATTCACTGCGGTATAGATGTCGCTAACGGACTAGATGGTGATTGAATCAACACCACCATAGATTATAGTATTAGGGATATCTTGATCCGCCGTAATAAAATCATTATCTTATGTCTATATAGAATCGATCAGTGTCTTGCCTCACAAAATCCTATCAATTTACTTAGTATTTCTTTCTGGCTTTACAATAAACACGCCCTTGGACCTATGGTAATTGGAAACGTCATGTGAACATAATTGGGATTTTGTACAAATTAATTGGGATAATATAGCAGATTTAATGTATAATGCTGCTGAATCCTAGTTCTGTTTTCTACTGTTCATATATCACCACTCTTTATTAAAGATATTGTAACTAATCCACCCATACGTCAACCACATCATTGATTCTGCGTTCTCAAATGAAAACAATATTTTTTAAAGAGAGAGAGAGAGAGGGGGGGGGAGAAATGGGGTGTTAACGACCACTCGACACAAACTTGGTCATTTCGGGACTAAAATGTGATTCAATTTTATTTCAATAATTCGCTTGTGCGTAGGGGTGGGGTCTTTAGCAGTAGGAGGAAACCGGAGAAAACCCACGAGGACAGGCTACCCTACTCCTTGTCACGTACAACTGGGGAATCGAAACCATGCCAGTTGACTCAATGACAGACTTTATGACTGAACGCGAACGCGCTAACCATTCTGCCATTTACCCCCTCCCCCCCCCCGCCCCCGCCCCGCCCCAAACACACATATTTTTTTAAAGACCTTGTTTCTTGTTATAAGCAATTTATCAGTATGGCGACAAATTCTATTTTCTGGAAAATAATTGTTCGATTTCCATTCAAGTTTACTTGCCAATTTTTTATTTTAACTTTTTTCAAATTCCAGACATCAAATATATGCCACTAAATACCAAAACAGAACATGATAGATATACAGAATTGAATGTAATCGCGCTGTAGTCACGGCTAATCTAATCGACGGAAGTCAGGCTAAAAGTTAGACGGATATAGCTGGTACCCGACTAGTTAGGAAACTCGATTTAATAGTCCGATGCTGTCATTCTTACATTTAATATGTCTTCGAGGCCATTTAATGGTTGCCACTGTAGATGTCAATCAAGAAGATTGCTAGATAATGTTTAGATTGATATAAAATGTGGTATGGTAGAAACCACAATATTAAACCCGTTATACACTCCAAATAATAACTGATTGACAAGTACAGTAGTTATAAAAATCGCCGATTTGGTATGTGATGTTTATATTAGATCTATCGCATTTTATCGGCTATATATAACTACTGCTAAAAAAAGATGCATTTGCGGGGTTGGGATGGTCCAGTGGTCCAATCTGATTAAAACACAGATCCAATTTCGTTTCGTTATTATAGTTCAAAATTTAGATTTTACTTGTCTTTCCTACACTTGGATCTGGAAGCGTTGTTATTTAACTCGTGTTCTGCCCGTGCGCAAAAAAAAAAGATTGCACGAGATGCACATGAAATACCCAATATTCACGTGCAGCATTGTGTGTGAGCCCTTTAAAAGCATGTTTTCAACTTAATGTCAATCTGTCGTAATTTGTTGTTGGACGTGTGAAGGAATCGAGCTAGAGATGCCGAGACTTACTGAAAATCAACGGAATGAAGCCATGGGAATGTCCAGGGTTGGCATGTTTACACGTGCTATTGCCAGACACTTCAATTGTCATCAGTCCACTATTGTAACGTTGGTGGAACGTGTTCGAGTTACTGGATTAACACGTGACCGTCAACGTCCTGGTCCACAACGCGTTACAACCCAGGTTCAAGACCGCTACATCCGGTTCACTCATCTGCGTGACAGATTCCGGCCAGCGACTCGAACAGGTGCAGCAGTCGTCGGAAGACAAGGACCAGTAAGTGTCAACACCGTAAGACGTCGTCTAAGAGAAGTAGGACTCTGTGCACGAGGACCTTATGTTGGAGCTATCCTCAAGGATCATCACCGTCAGCGGCGTTTGATATGGGCTCAAGGACACCAGACACCGTTTTAGTATGGACTACCTGGCTGCTAACAACATCAATGTCTTGGACTGGCCAGCCATGTCTCCGGACATGGCACCGATTGAACATGTCTGGGATGAGATTGGACGCCGTCGGTATCGGAGACCACAGATGCACACCATTGCTGCTTTAGAAGCTGCTCTTTTCCAAGAATGGAACAATTTGCCCCAGGCCTTCTTTCAAACATTGGTAAATTCCATGCGACGTCGCTGCACAGCGTGCGTAAGAGCCCGTGGAGGACACACGCGCTACTGACATCTGTGTCGTACTTTTGATTTTGACCCCTCTGACTTTGTACCGTTGATTACAGATTAACCACCCATAAGTGTACAAATGTGTTGTTATTGATGTGTTCCCATTTGAATATTGTTCACAATAAGAAGCAAAATAAATAAGATATGTTTACAGGATCATTTTGTTATACGAAAAACTAAGTGATGCATTTGAATATTGTTTACAATAAGAAGCAAAATAAATAAGATATATTTACAGGATCATTTTGTTATACGAAAAACTAAGTGATGCATTTGAATATTGTTCACAATAAGAAGCAAAATAAATAAGATATATTTACAGGATCATTTTGTTATACGAAAAACTAAGTCATGCGTTTTCCATGGCGCTCAGTATACTTACGAAAAGACGTCAGTCTGATTAAAATACAGATCTATATTTCATTTCGTTTTTTTATACTTTCGATGGCCTACACTACATGAAGATCTGGCAAGATGTACTCGAGCGGCTTTTGACCCTATGACATCAGGCATTGATTAGTCAATCAGCGTTGGCGTTTACCCACAGTTTCGTGCAGGGAACACCAAGAAGTCGCCGTAATAAACGAAATTTTGAACTATAAAAAACGAAACGAAATAGGATCTGTGTTTTATTCAGATTGGAAACGACGTATACTTTAAAAAAATTTAAAATCATACAAAATCGATAGCCAGCTTACTCTTTGTAAGCTAGACAGTTCATTAAAATTCAGAAAACTCAATTGATAAGTTGCTAACCAATCAGACAACTTCGATCCATAATCTTGACAACCTAATAAAGCGGAAACCAAATATAGTTATCAAAAGGTGGGTTGAGTCAGAAACGATTCTGGGACTTGCTGAAAATCTTTATGTTTGAACAAGTCTGCTTAACAAGATTTCACGATAACGTTCAAAGTGGTCCTCTGAACTGGTTCACCATCGACAGATGTTTTCACAAAAAGGATGTAGTTCCTTTTATAACGACATTGTGTAACATGGTGTCGAAACTCTCAATCTGATCTATATTTCTTTTCGTTTTTTTATACTTTCGATGGCCTACGCTATATGAAGATCTGACCGGTTGTAGCCATAGGTTGCGTCAGAGGTCATACGAGCGATCTATGACCCTATGACATTTGGATTACCCACAGTTCTGTGCAAAACACGCCTAGAGCTCGTCGTAACAGACCGTTTCATTGGCTAATGCCTCACACTATTCATAACACATCAATGATAACATCTCTTTCGGACCCTAGAGTAGTAAAGACAAGTAAAACGAACTATAAAAACGAAACGAAATAGGATCTGTGTTTTAATCAGATTGCTAAACGCTGGAAAAGATCACCTGAAGTTGTTGACTATCAATAAAAAGGTAAACACAAGACATTGTACGGAACATATTATTCACAATGATTTATTCAAGCTTTATCTCATGATAGGTTGTCGATTTTACAATGACGTAACACTTATTGTAATGACGTAACACCTATTGTAATTTACTACACTAAAGGCAGAACATACGTAAAGCGAAGCTGAACTGAAACCTCGGGTTATTTGTGAAATTGAGCACAAATTCATTACAAAATACCATAAAATTGTAATTCATACTTTTTGGTTTAGGTTAAAATAAAGTACAATAGTCAATTGGATTCATGGGATGTGTTAAATGGATTCGTGATGAAAGAGGCTCTATACAATTATTGTTTTCTATAAGGATTAAAAGATGCATTTTGTATTTAGATAAAGAGTTGACCGTTCTTGCTAGTGTAAAAATAGATAATGAAAATTTCATTCACATTACTTTGCTCTCAGTTATGAAGTTTTGACAAGAAATAGCGTGAATAGTCTCAATTGTCAAGTACCATTTCTACGATAATATACAAAGTTTCGATTTCCCATTTAACTAAGACGTAGCAGGCAATGTCTAGTCCACTCATTATCTCAGTCATTCAACGGTCTGGAAAGTTGATTATGGGCTTGTCATGTGAATGCATGTCTAAATATTAATTAATATACCATTTGAAGCTTGAAAAAATACCTGCAATTGGCAGATTTAGATCTTACATAATGCATTTTTAACTTAAAGTAAGTTCTTGGCTTACTGTACCGACACTTGTACACATACTCGATTACATCTCAACACTCAAGAAATATTTCAACACATTGTAATCCCACAAAACAAATCAGCATATAAAATCCAATGAAATAGAAAATTTTCTCTTTGACCTAAATCAAATAGGTAATTCGTAGCTCTCCCACCCCAAATGAACAATCTGTCACTTATTTATTATAATCGAACAGTGAATAATAATCACATCATGTTGGGCCACCATTAAAATGGATATAAAATGGGGTTTCAGGCCCAGCTCGCCCCTCTTTGCTGCATCGAACGGATCATTAAAAGTAATTAAAGAATTGCATCTTAACCTATAAGACAGAATTTGAATGTCCAATCGATGTGCACACCTCTAAAACACACAGCATAAAATAGAATACCATTTAAACATACATTATGCAAGAGCTAAATCTGCCTATTGCATGTCTTTCTTTAGGCCTGAAATGTTATCTAAATTATTAATTAGACATTAATTTACTTAACCAGATCATAATCCACTCTCGATGTTATCGCTAGCCTGCGATATTTAATGGATTAGAATCCGGTCTGCTGCTTCTGATTAATTCAAACAATGGATAATCGGGACTATGTTTTTTTATCGTACCGACTTTAGTAATGATGATCGAGGCTTGGCCCAAAATTCAATCTCTAAATACTTGGTTCAGGGTGGATCATTTTGACTGACATTTTCCGTAAATTCCGTTTACATTATCTAGTTTTTAACTATTATAGTGCGAACTACCAGCTCTTTATCTAATCTCCCATAATGTATCTTTAAACTATTCTAATAAGCACAACAACATTCATTCACTTTAAATAATAAAGAGCAACAACTGTGAACAGGAAACCATCGGTTTGTGGGTTTAGGAGTTCAATATGCCATTTATAATGAGTATCTTAAATTGAGATTGGAGCTGTTCGTTTTTTTGGCAGAACTATGATGACTATTATATTCGCTGTAGTTAGACATTTTATAAGAGTTGTTCCTTGAGCTTGTACATAAGTAAAATATTCGTTTTATACCTTCTCTGAAATTCGGGTTAATCCAAAAGTACACTAATGGGTTATAACACGAGTGACTCATGGCAAGCCAATGTGCACTCATCCACACATACATCATATATGGAGCATCAAAAATGTGCGGATTTTGATCTCCAATGAGCGTCAAAACATGTAGAGGGAGCCAGCATACAGCATAAATAGTCACCACTATTATAATCATCTTGACCAACTGGAATTTAAAGAAAAATATTTATATAAGGTATAATACGTAGTACAATTCATTGAATAATACATGCAAAAATATGTCATTTTACAAAATTAGCTAAATAACGTTATCGGTCATATTCATTTTTAAGCTTAAGTTGAGAGAGTTGTTTTACCTTATAGGTCATATTCATTTCTATGCCTATTTTTTTTTTTAAAGCAATATTTTTATTCAGATTTGTATCTGAATAGGGATTGGGGAACAGACATAGCCTATATTAAACCCCTCTCCCTATACATTGACAGAGTTCTTATTGGTCATATTCATTTATATGCCTGTAAGTTGACAGAGTTGTTTTACCTTATCGGTCATATTCATTTTTATGCCTAAGTTGACAGGGTTGTTTTACCTTATCGGTCATATTCATTTTTATGCCTAAGTTGACAGGGTTGTTTTACCTTATCGGTCATATTCATTTTTATGCCTAAGTTGACAGAGTTGTTTTGCCTTATCGGTCATATTCATTTTTATCCCAATTTGACAGAGTTGTTTTACCTTACCTAAGTTGACAGAGTTATTGTTGCTACAACCAAGCACTTTACTTCCACAATCGTGATTTATACGGTTGTTAATTATTAAGCGAGTGCCCGGTTTTCTTAATTCATTGAAGATACGTTCGATTTGGTATATAAAGCTATCAGATTTAATGTGGTTTGAATATTTTATTTTCAATTATTGTTTCGTTGAAAGTGATAATGCCTTGGTAAGCAATAAATGCGTGGTTTTGAACATTACACGCAAGTAATCCATACTGAACACATTGTGATTAGCGAGCGGGATCAGTGCCTTGTTTCTCAAACTTTTAGTAAATACGTCCATTTTGATTGGCTAAGCACTAAAATCAATATAATATTATCCAATCAAATTAATAAAATTTGGATTTTATCTTAGTTAAAATTTAGTGAAACAGGCCCCTGTATTTCAAAATTAAATAATTGTAAAAGGTCTACATACCCTCCGTTTAGAAGCCGCCATGCGCTGATCTCTTCCTTCTACAGCCTCACCGGGGGTTTTCTTAATCCACACTATATAACCTATTCGTGCATTTGTAACCAGTAGAACAAGCAGGGGCACAAAATACTGCAGCAGCATCACTACAATACTGTAGATGTATTTTTGGGCTGGGTGATTCCATTGCTCTAAACATTGTCCCATGGCCGATGGGTGATCTGTTATGTTGGAATAGGATATGGTTGAGGTAACAGCGGTGGGAACTGGCAGAATGAATGCTAGAATCCAAGTCACAATAATGATGTACTTGGCGTGTCTTCGCGACAGCTTGGGCTTTAATGGATACACAATAGCCACATACTTATCCAGACTCATTGCCACCAAAGTAAACGCACACAGCAGCACAACGACGATCTGCATGTATGTAACGAGCGGACACATGATGGTTCCGAAAGGCCAGTACATGAGAATAAAGTTGGACACAAACGTAAACGGGCAACATATAACAGCTTTGACAAAGTCACTAAAGGCTAAATTCAACAAAAAGAAGTTTGTAACTGTTCTCATCTTGCGACTTGACAGAATTATATAGCAAACGGCTAGGTTGCCACCAACTGCTACAAATATAACCAGCGAATACATCAACACCGTCACTACTTTAATATAATGTAGTTGTCCGGAGGAAAAGTTGCTGTACGATATGGAAATATTCTCTGGTAGTGTAAAGTTATCCATTTTGAAGCTATATTCACTGCATAAACTGGATTGATATTTGACGTCAGTATCTATATCTTTTCAATCTGAAAGTATAAATTATAATTTTATATAAATTAATAATAACAAAAGTCGTATTTCTATTGCGCTGGGATTACAACCATGTGGTGTATTCCCACGACGGCGCCGTTACAGAGCGTGACCAAAATAATACTTCCCACGAAGGCGCAGATATGGACTTGTCGACTTTCTTTTGAAGAGAGGCATGTTGTTATTAGGACCCAATTAACAATGTTTAATTTTATGAATTTATGTTCACTCTGAATTTTATTCACCAATTGGCAACTAATGATAAAAATCATTCAAGTAGTGTTCACAAATTCGCTCACTCTCAATCAGATCCAAAAATAACTGCACTGACCGACTACGTAACAAACCAATGGGCGAGGGTGAATATGCTACTCATCAGTGGAACCACTTCCTCACAAGGAACACAGAACCAACAACACTCTGGAAGGATGGCATTCAAGGATCAAGACTCTAGTTGGTAAAGTTCATCCGAATGGTTTTGAAAGGATCACATTTTTACAAGAGCAGAATACTAATGAAATTAGAATCGTACAGTACGCCAGGGGACAGGAACCACCAAGGAAGAGACATAAAGATACCCTAACCCAAAGCGAGCTCCGGGAAATAAAAAGTAGACACGAAGAAGAGGAATTAACTTTAGTTGAGTATTTAGACAGGGTGTCTTATTTGGCGAAATTTTTGTTTTTATTTCTTAAAGTCATATGCCAAACATGTTAAAATGTTAGTTAATTAGTCACATTAGGAATTATGAAAGTGTAAAATATTATCATAACAATCTATAAATCCATTGTTACATTAAACCATTGTAATCCCTAAAAACTGGATTCCCACGAAGGCGTCGAAAACGACTCCCTTTTATCGGCTACGGTCAATAACTGCGCCTTCGTGGGAATAAACCAACTATGTGACTGTAGACAATGAAGTCATTAACAACCTGGCCGTCCATAAGGTTGGATTTTAATCCCTTTTAAAAGCCTGTATACTCTCACGGTCATACTATGACAGATAGGGCTGCTGAGAAAAATGCACGATCACCACGCTTTGGGTGGTTGAGGGCATCGTTAGTAGACTTTCATCAGATAACTTGCGGAGCGGACAGTAATAAAATGGAGCAGCTTCCATTAAATTTATCCATATACTAGCAGGATACCCGGCTTTGCTCGTGGGTCATAACCCCGAAACCGGAAGTGGTAGACTAACGCCACCTGGCCTATGTTACTCCCCGGTCCGAGCTACCCCTATACCCCAAATTTCAGACTCGGGGCAGACCTAGTGTAGCCGCCAACCCCGAACAGACAGACAGACAAACGACAGTCACAAATATTAGTATAGATTTAATTATGGTGTTCTTTATGCAGGTTCTACGCGGGTTATAGTCATGTATGAAGCACATCATTCAATATTGTCTTTAGGGGGACCTACAATTTCGGTTCGCAACAATAAAAAAAACCCAAAACAAAACATTCTTGCTTCTTCGTCTCATGAACGTAAACACTGCATATGAATTTCGACTCAAACGGGCGATAACATAGTTTAACGGGCTTTAAATGGAAATCGGATTGGGCATTATTGGCTTTTGGTATGCTGCTATTCCTTTGACTATATACTCATGTAAAATTAACGAATGATTTTGTCTGTTTCTTGTAACATGCGTTCAACTGATTAGCTGAAATGTCGTTAACGTCATTACAGATATGCACCATTATCGGTTCGTGACAAGTTAATAAGAAAATATGGGTCTAACATCTTTCTAAATCTAGAAAATCTAGGCTTAACGGAATGATATGTTTGGATTCTAAAAGTAGCCAACAAAAGCTGACGTTTACTGTTCCAAGGGCCCGAATTAGGTATAGCGACCATTAGCAGTTATAAACATGTACCGAATGACCGATAGAATAAGGACTTGATTTTTCTTAGCAGATAATTTATACCAATTCAGTACTGTAATATACATGAAATGACAAATTCTGTCGTCAAAAGACCATTAAATAAATTTTGAAATTCATACGATTATGTAAGAATTCCATATAGAAAAAATAACTGAATTGGGAATTCCTAGGCTCTGTGTGTCGTCGGTCTGTCAGCAGGCATGAGCTATATCTTACCACATAGTTCGCCTAACTGCCAAGAAATGAAATGAAATGGGGTTTAACGTCCTACTGTTCTGCTTCTAAACTGGGCTAATGAAGACGGCCATACGCCATACAGTGTGCTATGAGGAAAAGTTTGCCCGGGCAGTGGCACTACGGCCTACTCTTATATCGAATTCCATCTGCCAAGGGATCTTTTACGTACACGCCAATGTGTACACGGGACCTCGGTTTTTCGTCCCACCCAGTGCACAAGAGAAATGAAGAATTAGTTGGGTTGTTGAAAATGGACCATGCTCACCTTCATCATTATTTAATGAAGCAAAGATAATATAGAAGTTACTATTTGTAACAAGTTAATGACCAGAAACACCCGTTGATTCCACTTCCAATGTAAATTTTTATACCTTTACATCATTTCCTGTTACCATTGTATTACAGGAAGTCATGCTGTATATAACGGAACGGGGTCCAAGAAAAATATTAATTCTAATTTTAAAATCAATCAATTAGTCTTCGGGTGTTTAAAATACGGTTATTTAGAGTACTTATTGTTTTTAAAGAATAACATGGTAAAATAAGCAACACTGCCATCTTCATAAAGGAAATGCCAGGCCGAGTAAGATAAAACGGTAACATTAGGTCGTCTGTCTTTGTAATTGTCTTTGTTGCAGATATGTATACGTTAACAGTTTGCCACGAGTCAAGAAGTCATAATTCATTTTTGCATACCAATGGAAAATTAACCATTGTTAATGGCTTTTGTCATATAGAAATACACATTATATCCAACCAAAGGAACACGAACGTGTTGGAAATGAAATAAAATGGAGTTTAACGTCCTTCTGTTCTGCTTCAACTGGGATAATGAAGACAAGACGGGCATACGCCATACAGTGTGCTATGAGGGAAATTTTGCCCGGACAGCGGCTCTACAGCCTACTCTTATATCGAATTCCAATTGCCAAGAGATGTTTTACTTGCAGTACACCAACGACTAGACAGCTGTCCTTCCCAGGGCCCCCGTCCAGCACCACTAACAATGGCAACCACGCCGCCGGAAAATCCCGATGAACTTTCTCGGCAAACACGGGGACCGGACCCACGACATCCCAGGCTAAGTATTAGTAGTACAAAAACACAAGAGTCAAATATTGACTGGACACTTTTTACAAGGCCCTCCGAAATAGAATAAATAATCCTCAATAGAAGAAGGAGCACATTCACAGGGGGTTAGAAGAGCCAGGGTGTCTTAGTATGTAAGGTGCTGACTCACTGACCAGGATCTCCCGGGTTCGATCCCCAGTGTTGAACGAGAAAGTCCCTCGGGATTATTCTTTCTAGTTGTGTGGGCTGTGGTCTTGGGGAGTCACGGTGTCTAGTCATCCGGTGGTTCAAAATAGAGGCTCCGTGTACACATTGTCTTGTACGTTAAAGACGCCTTGACAATGGGAATTCAGTTTAAGAGTAGGCGAAAATGCCGATCTCCGGGCAAAATTCCCCTCCAGTCACAGCTCACTGCATGGCGCATGTCTGCCCTCAATATCCAGGTCGGTGCAGAATAGTAGAACTTTAAACCCCATTCCATTCATAAAGAGGGGATCAAGTGGCTAAGCGGGTAAGACGCTGGCTCGCTAGCCTGGAGGTCGGGTGTTCAATCCCTGCATTGGCCGAGAAAGTTCATCCAGATTTTCCGGCGTGGTTCCCCCTTGTCAGTGATGCAGGACGGAGGGCCTGACAAGGACAGCTGTCTAATCCGTCGGATGAGACGAAAAACCGAGGTCCCGTGTATACATTGGAATGCACGTAAAAGATCCCTTGGCAGTTGGAATTCGATATAAGAGTAGACCATAATGCCGCTGCCCGGGCAAAATTTCTCCCTCGTAGCACACTGTATAGCGTATGCCCGTCTTCATTAGCCCAGCATAGGAGCAGAACAGTAGGACGTTAAACCCCATTTCATTTCATTCATAAAGAGCAGCCTTCAACGTATTCGGTGGTACACGGGTTTAGAAGATATTAGGTGTCAGCTAGAGTTATTTTATAGAGCGGGACGATTTATCCAATACTACCCCAATATCACCACATACTACCCAATACTAAAAGATAATGATGCAAAATGGGCATACCACTTGAATTTTTCCAAAAATAGCGAGTTATATCCAACGAAATGTACGTCAAATGCGATTACCGATGTCTAACTGTTCCATTTGCCTCCCTATATCACCCAAAACAAGCAAATAATAACCCAATACTACCAAATACATATCAAATACTACCCAATGTTATCAAATAACAACCGAATATCGGCAAATAGCAGCACATCAGTATAATTACTGCAACGAATATTCGATAATTTGCAGATAATTGAAATATGCGTATGTTGTGAAATAGTTTGAAATATCCGCTAATTAAATTTCAAGTCCATTTAATGGGCAAGAAAAGTTTCGGGTAGAGATGACATTTCATTGGACATAACAGGCCTCGAAATGTTTAAAAAAAGCTACCTGTCGCAAGCGACAGGTAGCTTTTCTTCATACCTGTCGCTTCAGTAAATAACCTGTCACTCTCAATTATCAAACTCAAAGACTAATCACATCACACATATCCATACATGTAGGTACACACGCACGTGGTTAGGTCTTTGACGTACATTGCTCTATATAAATATCGTAATATGAAACCATTTTATTTCTTCGACATCGGATTGCCTAAAAGTTCTTGAAAGTCGGCGAATTTGCTTTGGTTCAGCGACTCGAAGATTCGTACAATTCTATCATCCGTATCCACGTGAATTCCGCAAAGTATCATGGTACCACACTTCCGTACTAAATCGAATACTTCACCGTTGAGTTGTAGAATTCAGATTTTAAAATA